TCCGGGTCCACTGGTGGAACCTCTTCTAACCGGTTCGGTAGATTTGACGAACCGGTTCTACCAAATAGATGCGAACTGGTAGGAACCCACCTCTGGTGTGTGTGTGTGTGTGTCATGGACCTGGTTCATTTTTTGCCATTATCCTGTCCATTGTTTTTCTGACCTCTTGGAAAAGTTAATTTCAGTCCCTTAAAGGAATCTGGACTTGATGCAAAGTAATATAATTTAAATTAAAGGATTTGCAATCCACCAGTTTCTTCAAAAGAAACTAAGGACACATATATGGATATACAGGTAGAAACATCCATCCATGCATTTCTTTTTAATTACTCCCAGCATTCATTATTTTGCTTTCAGTTTTCTAATTTGGCCTGAGGAAGGAAATAATTTTATGGTTACTATTGCTAAAATATTAAGAGTCAGGATCTGCTGTAGATCACTTGGGAATTTACCACTCGACGTCAATTTACTGCTAATCATCTTTATTAAATTGCTACAACTTAGGCTAATATAAACCACCATCAAAACTATAGTGATGGTGTTGATCTATGATACTTTGACCGCTGCAATCTGCAGAGTCCTAAAAGTAGGAAATTTTTAACTATTTTGCATTTAAGGATTATTTGCCCTTGACATTTTGGCAAACGTTTTTAGAAATCTCCATTCATGTTGTATATATCACAATGTCTTCAGCATCCATTAGATGGCAGTAAGTTAGTTGACTATAAGGCTCTGCCTCTTTTGAAAACCATTCCTTCATCCTTTGCTGAACATACATAGACATATTTACTTATTCCAAATATAACATAACTTATCCTTCTACCTTTTTCTTTCCTGATCTATATTGTCACCAAAATGGAGTTCTGTCTGAAACTCAAAATTTTAAATGTTCTTTTTTAACCATCTGCACTTCCTAATATAAATCTCTGATCTCAATACAATCATGTCAGAGGAGACTGTAACAGCTGACCACCCTATTAACAAGCTAGCCAGCCAAATTAGCTTTGCTTGAGACTGATATAATTATTGCTACAGTATTCCATAACTTTAATCTGAATATTTGATTAAGCAGAAAGATGAGCCCGATATCAGGGTTGTACAGAAAATTTTTAAACATTAAAAATTGGATGTTTTGTGTAATCTGGGCAATGGTTCCCACTATACCAAAGTTGTTCCAAGCTGCTTCATGCTTCCAAAGAACTCAAAAGAGCTGATCCATACTTAGAAAAGTGTTCTTGTACAGACACAAGAAACTCTGGATTTGGAACAATATGTTTTGAATTCAGTCCAGAACAATTCAAGTCTGAANGGTCCTTATTTTATTGACCTTGGAAGGATGGAAGGCTGAGTCAACCTTGAGCCTGGTGAGATTCAAAACTGTCAAATTGCTGGCAGCCAGCAGTCAGCAGAAACAGCCTGCAGTACTGCGTTCAAACCACTGTGTGCACCGTGGCTCATAATATATTTGTTACGCTGATTAACTGGATGAAGTAATAAAAGGAATGTAACCATCAAAAAGAGAATAGTCAGGGTAGTGGTTATTCACCTAGAACAGTGGTGTAAATGTGTGCCAGAATTGTCCGCCCGTGTGTGATAGCGCATGTACACGTGCCCACACCACAATGCAATGTGCACTTGCCACTGGTGCACGCGACCACCACCACCCCATGCGGGGGGGCAGTTTTCACTCTCCCCAGGCTCTGGAGGCTTTCATGAAGCCTGGGGAGGCAAAACTGCCTTCCCCCGGAGGCCCTCCAGAAGCCGAAAGCAGATAGTTTCCAAACTTCCAGTTGGCCTGTTGGGTCTGTTTTTCACCTTCCCCAGGTTCCTGAGGCTTTCCTGAAGCCTGGGGAGGTTTAAAACGGCGTCCCCCAGCCCTCTGGAAGGCCAAGAATCAGCTGTTCAATGCGCGCTGGAGCTGATTATTATCTGATAATCTAATAATCTAAATTGAATTGAATTGTCACCCTGTATGCTGGCAGATATGGCTCCGTGTGCTACCTGTGGCTCACAGGCCACAGCTTCGCCATCGCACAACTAGAACTTGATAAATTTAGATGACAATTGGCTGGTGGTATTAAATACTAGTGCACTCTTTATCTGTTTTAGGGGAATATCTAGATATTCTGGCTGTATCTTGTGATAGCTTCAATGAAGAAGTCAATGTTTTAATTGGCCGAGGGCAAGGAAAGAAAAATCATGTTGAAAACCTTGAAAAGCTGAAGACGTGGTGCCAAAAATACAACGTGGCTTTCAAGATAAATTCCGTGATCAACCGTTTCAATGTGGAAGAAGACATGAATGAGAAGATCAAAGCTCTAAATCCTGTCCGCTGGAAGGTAGGAGCAGAAAAGAGGCAGCATACGTTTTAGTATTGTGAAGAGGGAAATATTAGCTATAATGGGTAGGACCCCTAAAGTATTTTTAAAATAAAGAAAACAACACTTTCATATTCTAAAAAAGCTGTCCGTGTGTGTGTTTTGTGTGTTTGTGTTTGTGTGTGTGTGTGTGTGTGTGTCAGTGGTGGGTTTCAAAAATTGTTTGAACCTACTCTGTGGGTGTGGCCTCCTTTGTGGGAGTGGCTTGCCGCCCATGTGACCGGATATGAAGTATTCATTAACAGGTAGGACTTTGTAGCAGATAATTTTATGAACCAC